TGGCAATTTACAAATGTTTAGCACAGTCTTGAATCTCTTGCACAGCTTTAATGTACTCCATCCAGACTTGACTTATTTTGAATGAAATCCACTCATAGCAATATGAAGAGGGGGTGTCCTATGCATGGAACAGCAGATTTGTGCAAGAGTCAAGATTGTGCTAGCTTTGTTGCTAGAACTGCATGAGTGGTTTTGCATAATGGTAGAAAGGCAAGTGGGAAGGAAAAGGAGCAAACATAGCCCCCTTTTCCTTCCCACAATGCCATTCTACCATTGTGCAAAATCACCCATGCTGGATTTAGCTATATCATGATGGTTTAGGCCTACAATAACAAGCAAAAGCAAGACAAGACACAACTTACCCAAAAGCTGTCCACAAATCGGCTCATTGTGGGTCGGTTATGTTTATCGTCAAATAAGGAACTGACTGCAACTTAAATGGTCAGAAACTGTCCAGATGTAGTTGACTGGAACACGGTTATCCACGTGTAGGACTTGTGAGATAAATTTTGTTCATTCAGCTCAGGGCACGTACATGTAACAAAGTAACGGTACAGTGTAGGCACTTGTTAGAACTTTTGTTTCAAGTAAACAAAACCAGCAGACTCCCGATCCCGAGCCTGGAAAACGTCCGAGCAGGTTTACATGTTACATACACGGAAAAATGTTATTTAAAAACATAGTGCACTATTTGGAGTTCTAACTAAACCCTCAGAACGTTCACAGAGCCAAGTATCACTGTCAGCAACGTTCGGTCATTTCGGTTAAGCTAATTTTTGGTGCCTCTCCTCCTACCCGGTACCCGGAAGTAATACAGTGGGATTCAGACGGGTACCCAAATTCCCACTACATTAAAAAGCACGCAAAGAAGTGCAGAGCTCATATGCTGATTATTAATCACAAGTCCGACGACTATTTCATGCTAGTCAAATCGTAGGGGGCGTTGTTGCCAGAACGTTTCGTTCGTCGCGCCCAGCGCGAGCGCCCGCCGAACGAAGTGCTGGGGGGGTGATGGCTTTGCACTCTGATTGGATACACGACCTGTGACTGCGAGGTATCTCTTCCTGTTAGCAAAGCATTATTTAAATTTTTTGATTAGCCAATGGCAATGCTTTGGTACGGGCAAAGTGTCACCTACATGCATGTGTATGATAAAAACCATATGGCCTTGGTACAATCACACAGTGTGGCAATTTAATTATCTTTTCACTAAGTATCACTGATCACGTGTCTTTTGGCGATATGTTTCAAATAATTGGTTACCTTAATCAATTTTGGATGAACGAATAAAGTATGGTGAGAATTTTTTCAGCAACGAGGAAGAGAAAATATTGTGACCTGCTATGGCATAATGGGAAAAGATCCCCATTTATGACTTTTTGAGATATACATACAAGAATAAAGAGAAATAAATGGGCTTTCCGGTTATACCACATTTATACTCGTAGAAACTCCGCTCCGAAAATATGACGTGAAAAAGATGACGGGAAACATCGCTGTGGTCAAAACTATTTTCTAGAAAAACGGCTTTGAAAAAAGAGCACGCCGCAATGCTGCAAACGTTAGCCACGCGCATGTTGTGTGAGCTCGATAATTGTTCTCGATCTACATGACCACAACAGCATTATATTTATGGGCAACTGTTGCCATGAAATAACAAAGTAAACTGAAAGAATATCTTCACAAATTGTTTTCCTGGAAGTTATATTGTTTTTTGGGGGGGGGGAGGAATCCATAGCAGTGGAGTTTCGTGATCATGGATTTCTACTGACATCAGACGGGCCGGTGTTGACACGGCCTCCCGACCTATGGTTTCTAGATTTCGAAACATTCCTGTTTGAAATTAAAATTCACAGTACCTGTTAAGATAAGTTAATATGAGCTTATTTCAGTCAAAAACCACCCTTTCTAAATTGACAAGTAAGACTCGTACTCTTTGCTCACCGAAAACTCTGGCACTTCAGAAAGCTGTCGTCCATCCAACGGCATCGGATCTTGCCTTCCATACTTACAAATTTTTCAATGTACATGCATGCCAAGGGTGCAATACAGTGGTGAGATACGTATTACTCAAGCTGAATTTGGCATAAAGGTCAGGTTTGTCCCCTTTGGGCGCTCAAAAATTGAAAATGTTTAGCCTAACCATTGTTACAGTTTTCAGTGTACATGTACATGCCATGTTGAAATCGACTCGTACATGCTCGTACCGTACGGGTGTACATGTACACTGTACAGTACATGCACACAGCATTGTTGTTTTTGCGTACGCACCTGTACGCTACAGTAAAAGTAATATTGAAGGGGCGGCGTAGCGCCGTGAGTAAAAACTAGTTGTGCGAGGGCGCTCTTCAACATAAATAAAACACCTATCGATCACTGTCGTCTTTGGGCCAAGACTAACGTAGACGTAGCTTGTGAACAAGACACAACTTTACGAAAACACGCCCGTAATATGGACAAAATTTTGTCATCTATAATTTAAGAAAATATGGAACTAAACTCACTCCAGAAATCCTCCATTTTATCACTTTTGCCTGATTTTTTTTTGCACAAATGGCATAGTTAGAGGAAATCTTTGAAACCTAACCTACCTAAAAATCTAAAAAACAAAATCAATTTTGGCATGATTTTTTACGTATGTCCAACTTCAACAGCCGATTACTCAAAATAAGGTTTTGGGGATCATTCCTCATTTAGCCTCAGTATGGAATTGGTAACCGCCGCTTTTGTGACGCATTCAGCGGGCTCGCACGCCTGGCAGAAATTTGCCCACAATGCTCTGCACGTCGTTAGCTGTGACCCCGTGTGACGTATTTCCTTCACTAAAATCTGTGCAAGGTCATCAGCCCTTGCGACGAGCGAACCAGGCCGTCGGCAGAGCTCATCATCACTCTATATATATGGAAGAGCTGAACGTCGGCATCAGCGGATTTGCCACCCGAAAACGGCACAGCAATATCAGTGAAACGCAGCCCAAATGTCCGATGCGTTGAGCTCTACGCATCGATATGAACTCAGAAACATCGTCAAGATAAGCGAGACGTTTGGTCGTTTCCCATGACCCCATGTATGACATAATTATCGACGGACGGTTGGGTATCAGACAACAGACAAGAGAAAATGGAGTGGAAGAAATGAACACTAAAGGACCTCAGAATCAAATTGACCGTCGAATTCAAGAAAAACGCCGCTCAATGTGCTACCACGGGAGAATCCAAAGACAGTCAATAAGATATCATTATTGTACAGCAATATTATTTTATTTTTTGATTTCCAGAGATGATTTGGGGAGGGGTGTTGAAAATGAATACCAAGAACACTTTGGAAATTTGATATTATGCACTTTAAGAGGTTCAGTTTGAATTGAGTTACAGTATTACGTGTGTATTGAGATTCAATTACAGGCAAGTTTAGATCAGTAAGTTCAGCAAATGTAAAATTTATAAAACAGCGGGTAGAAGCAAGCGAATCGATGCAGAGCCAAACATTAAACTGTTGGTCAATGATACATTTACATTTCGTGTCTGGTGTATATTACATTCGAGGAGTCCTTTAAGATTGCATCATTTTACTGGTTTTAAAAGACGGTATTTGAAATGCTTTGAAAGTAATTTATCTGTTTATTACCTCTTCTGAAATCATTTACGTGTCTATACTCATTCCCCACATAGTATCAATTTGCCTTAAAATTAAGAAATGTTGGGGAATTTCAGGATGGGCCTTACAGTGTTTTCTCTCTGAAAATACAATGTTATAACCAAGGACTAGCTTAGTGATTTCAATATTTCTGAATGAAACTGTCTCGTTGGAAGAAGTTCATCTATCCACCTTGAACAAAAGCACTCCCTCATCGGTTGAAAAGAACCATGTTGAACGAGCGTTCATTTTGTTGGCAACGAGGTAAATGTAACGCCCGCATTTCACAGTAGTTCGTGAACCAGCACAGCTCAGTTCTGACCAAAAGAACCTCCGTTGCAAAGAAAACTGCGTCCTCTCTTGGTCCAACTCGAGGCTCATATATAATTCAACTTTCAGATTAAGATTTCAGTCATTCGTAATTTCTTTTCACCACTATCTGTTCAAGACAAGATGTATAAGGCTCTTGGTGTTTTAAACAGTTGTCATTCATGATTATGAGAAAATTAAGCTTTGATTTTTGGACTAATGTTTAAATTGACGCTCATTTTCAAAAATCTAATTTAGTAAATTTCAATCCAACAACAAATGCAAAAGTCCCCAGCAATGTTTTTATATACATAAAATTATATTCTTATTGCGGGAGAATAAAAAAGCCACAATAATTAATGTTCATTTTCCAGTTTGCAAACGACAAGTCTGAGAGTGATACACATCGTGTGAAAAAAGCTAATAAGATTACGACTAATGCGGACAACTACAACCGTTCTATTTGTTTTAAAAGTCTTTCTTTATGCGGCTGAGGCCACTTGGGTAAACCGGGAAAATTTCATAGTAAGCAAATAACAGAACTTAGCAACATTTCAGGCTTGAGAGGATGATCATAAACGAGTGCCACGATAATCAAAGATGAAAGAATGTGTGCAGACAATAAAAAGTCACAAATTACCACTGAGAAATGGTGACTTTGTCAGTAAGGAAAACTTAACTACAAATTCCAACAGTCGAGTATCAAACATGCACAACTCAAAGATACAGGAAAAACATTTTGCGTTAATGATAAAAAAACTTGGAACTGCACAAGCTTGTGTTTGACAATTTGCTTATAATTACATCCTGCAACCCATTTTTCTATTTAATTCGCTTTAAATTATGAAGTATCAAAACAGACAAAAAGTTCCGAGGATTGTACATGATTACAGCTACATGTAAAAGTATCAACTAGGACCTCGTTACACGCTGCAATGCTACTCGGTTGTAAGCAACAACCATTATGTTTATCCCCCTTTTGAACTGATGGCTTTATCAAACCGTGCAAAGTCAAAATAGAAACACCTCTATAATTCCTTTAATAAGTCCACCTGAAATGGACAAATCAAAGTAATTATAAACTTAGGGGCCTATAGTATTTGGTATGGGAAGAGGACAGTGTTACAAACTACACACCCGATAATGACACAAAGAGTGGTGAACGAAAACTGATCATACCATCCACCTGAACTGCTATACATAATTACTTTGAGAACAAAATCATTAAAAAGATGTTGGCTTATTTGATTCTAACGAGACATTAGGCAGACATTCTCTTTTAAAATTCAGAACCATGAATATATTGGCCAAGATTGGTCGATCTACGCAATTACTCGATCTTTGCGCGATCTGTCGATCTTGATGCCGCGCAAGATTTACTGATTATTTCAGCCATTAACCGGTTGCCTTTTCCTTCTATTTTGCAGTTGTGGGAGATAGTTTCAAAAAGAGTGAGTAGAAAATTATAGGATCGACTGATAGCCCAACAAATACATATTTATTTCGAATCACTTTCTTATGAAATGGGCGATAATGACTTTAGCGGTATGTCAATTTAAGGAGATTTATACTCAACTTGGCAAGAGAGACCGAAAGCAGACGCCAATTTGTGACATACCTCATGCATGGAACGTTATACTTCGACCTTGCAGAAGTCGAACGTATTTCAAATTAGCGAATTTTCGCCTCGAATGCTTAAAGGCCATTTCATGCTAAAGGCGAACGCGAAAGCGTGGCTAGTATGACTGATTTGCAGCAAAATTTCGCTCAAAAATGCGTTCAGCCTTTACGAACTTTTCATTTGTCGTCACAAGGGTGCGTTCCTATTCGCTTTCGCACTAAGTATGAACCGGCCTTTATTTGCGACGTCTAACTGGCGATATCCAAGTATTTAACACGCCCCTTTATCAGTTCGAACACACAACTTGTTTCGAAAACCCAACCCCAGGCTGCACATTGTCTTGATTAGACATTCTGTATGCTGGCGGTCGAAATTCCTTCCCGTTGATTCACTCGTCTTGTTTTCCAGAAATCCTAGGCAAGCTTGACCTTGCGACAAGCGTGTTTCGCCTGAACAGGGCTATTTTCATTGCTGGTACAGGATGGTTTGTAAGGGAGCGGCTTCATCACGTCAAACTCGTTTCTCATGTAAAGTGGCATAGACGTGAGCATTGTAATTGAATGTGCTCAGAGCACTTTCATAGAAAACTCGCTGATGTTCGATCACAATACATGTTTCCTCAGTAAGACTCCGTGCTTGCCAGCGGTCTTTATTCGCTAGCGATTCCAACTGAAATCGATTCTCCCCGGCTAATATGTCGTGTTGATGTCTTGCGTTTCGACAAGATTTCCACTTCAGTTCTTCTCAGCTTCAAACCATTACATTTTAGTTCTTCCTCACCTTTCATTAATAACTTGGCAGAAATGTCAATTCTCGACACATAATCAGGCGCGGGCCTCCGCAACTGGCGAATCCGGAGTCTCACTAATAGAGGGCGCAACCCGTACGCGCGCCCTCAAGTGCTTAAACTGACGTACAATGTCTTTCACCTCCGTCGCCAAAGGCACCACAATAATGAAAATGGCGGCAGTGAAAGCCCAGGTGTCAGTCAGGTTGATCCAGTGCTGGAACTGGTTCTTGTTAAGGACGAAAAGCGCAGTCATAACGATAGGCCAAATTAGAACCATTAGAACAGTAAGTCCCAGGCTCAAAATAAGGGTTGTGTACCTCGCCCGCTTAAATTCCTTTAGCATTTGTTCCAGGGACGGCCGATTATAGACGAGTTTCACATCTGTAATGTTGAATTCCCTGTCCAAACAAAGAAAAATATGTTTAGTTTTGTTTTACGAATTCTAGTTACAGTCCATAGTTAGGCCTAGTTTATTGGTGGATACATCTTTATTCGTTGCAATATCAGCCCTACGCACACTTGTTCATGTAGAGCTTGGATGAATTTGTAGAATGAAGATTATTGTACTCATTCTGATCACGTTGGTTGACGTACCGAAATTTTGTCAGTACTATAGCTATTTGTGGTGTCATGAAATACCTACAAGCATAATTACAAATGTGAATAAAATGCGTTGCTCCTCGGCCGAGATCTAAAGGGAAAAGGATTTGCCCCCAGGCAAAAACTGGCCTTTGGGTTTAAGCAGTACACCTGCAAAGAACCATTTCCCCGTTATTTGAATAATACCTGCGTAGAGCCCGGTCGATTTATACTTTAGGCAAATTCCAAAGCGAATTAAGCGAAGTAACGAAGTACTACAGCGAAATTTACTCGAGCTGAAATGTGTTGAACTTAAACGAATTCGCGTGCGGCGTGTTTATTTGATCTGACGTCACAATTCGCGTTTGTTTTTGCTTTCGCGTCAAGTCTCAACCGCCTTCTTAAAAGCACTGCTCCGCAATCCACTGGCCAGTTAGGTTGTGACTTTGATTGATGAAAGCAAATCCGTGACCGGATGCAGCATTAAACACGATTCAATAGTGGACGCCCGAGAGCGTATTGCGTTTTGCGCTAATACCAATCCACTTTCAGAAATCCCACCATAATCAAGGAACTGTCGTGGCGTGATCGTATCAAGAAACTGTCGTAGATTTTTTTTCCACCGACCATGCTGATTGGACCTTGCCTATAAAAAAGCAGGGTGTGGTGACCTGTCCAAACACAGCGCTGAAAATAATTATGCATGTGCGATACGATTTCGCCCAAATATCAACGCAGTGATAGTCGAAATCTATGGTACGGCTTTGCTACCAGACCGAGCGGTACCGTACCATACCCAATGTACTACATGTACATGTACGGAGCGCAATAGGAATAATCAGAACATACATGTATGCACCATGTGCATGTATATACACACTGCACACACGAACACCGTATGGTGTCCTGACACTGACTCCTACTAGGTATTGTGTTGTGTACCAATACAAATATTTCTCTGTCCACATCTGGAAACAAAGACACTCGTGGTACTCAATACAAAAACAAGTGACAAGTACACTTTGCCTGGTTTATTCAGTCATCAGCATATTTTTTTAGGAATTTCATTTATTTTCGACCGACTGACCCTTCCTCGATTAATGAAAACAAATATATGAGCGCCATGAAATATAAAAGGGTCCCTTAGCAGGCAGCTCCCCAGACGGTGATATATATAGGCAACCCAGTAAACAAATACAAGATTTGATCGTTTCCAACCCTTTTACGAGTTCACAGACTGACCGACTCACCTGACGTATAATTCTGTCCAAGGTGACAAAGGGTTGTCGATGTCACGCGTCTTCTCCCATATCTCCATCCTTTCTTGCTCCGACAGGGGATGTTTCGTGAAAAAGGTCACGCCCACTGCGATAAGGCCTCCGGAGAGAAGTGACGTGCAGTTTCCGATGAGCATACTCAACTCAAAATTGTTATCTGTGATGAGAATAATAAGTTAAGTCAATCCAGTCGGAGCATAACTAAAGAAGAAAGAGTCGTCAAGTTCAACTTGTGTTCTTTGGTGTATCCTCTGAATGTAAACTTGATGATTCGACAGAATTATCAGGTGCTGGTACTTGTGAACCGAGAAAGACACGTACACTGCCTCTTAAACCTGAGATGTCCCGTTCATGCGTTATTTCAAATGAACTTTACGGAGAGGTCCCCGTGTGTCTTCCCTCATACGAAAAGCTCAAGTTTAATGGCAGACTCGGCTACTCTCTGCGTGTGTGAAAGGTCAGCCGTTTAAATACTCTCGAAATTCCAAGGAGTGAAAACTTAACTTTTCGAGTGAAAATGCGAATCTGTTGTCGGAAACTAGGGACTAGACGTTTCAGAGTGAAGTTTCTTCAATCGAAAAGATCCAGTTTTCACTCGAGCTTTGACTAAAGTAATTATTTGTCAGATTATCTCAATCTAAATTGAGAATGATTTTTCACTCCAAATCTCGTCCTTAGTTTCACTCGACTAGTACACGACTAAAGTAATTATTTGTCAGATTATTTCAATCTAAATTGAGAATGATTTTTCACTCGAAATCTCGTCCTTAGTTTCACTCTTTTGAATTTAGAGAGTAGGCCTAACCAACACAATAAGGTAAAAAACTATTTATCACTGTGTGGTAACGGTAAAGGTCCGAAATAAGCAATAGTTCTATTGTATCTGCATCGAACGAGCAATTGTATTCCCTTTGGCTTGTTTACCTCCCGAGTTCGTCATGAACGCAGACAGATCAAATTTCTTGTATAAAAGTGAGGCGGACACCAACCAACTCGTGATACCCAGAAGCATTCCTACGAGGGCGCCGCTGGCCATGGCCTTGCTGGTGAGGCGTGTCCAGAAGGTCCCGAGAATAATTGGAACGACGGAGGAGCCGATGAACACGCCCATGGCGGAGTACACGCCACTTAGGGTGACCTGGGCAGATGAGACGGGAGATATCATATCGTGAGAGTGACGGATAGGCCTACTGGTCTAGAGTGAGAAACATCCAGTTTCACTGATCATTTTGTTTGGCTAAGACGCAAAGCTTTCAAGACAGTGCCCGGGCGGCTAAAAGGGTAACGACGGATTACTGGAGTGACGGTATTTTGCGAGGTTTCTTTCTGTTGAACTGTAATTGCTGTGTGTCACTACAATGCACACCTGTCCAAGATTCGACCACATTTTGCATGTTCCTCATAATATGACACTGTCATGCAGTAAAGAAATTAGGAATAAATCTGTGATAGAGTTGGAATTTAATGTACGCCTATTCTTCGAGCATATTTCTCCTGATAACATTTCCCCACAAAATCAAGTATTGATGACTAAATGCGCTAAAAACAGTATTATATGTGCACTAAAATAAAGACGGTGTTTTCTGTTTTCCACGTGTTGTCTTTGAACTGACCAATGAAACGCTAAATATTGGTGGAAAGGAGAATTTGAAGTTCGTTTGTAAGGTTTGTTTCAGCTCATTTCTTCAGAAAGAGTGCAGGCAAGTTTGACTTTTTCTGGCAAGCCTTAATAAACTTCACCTTTACGGTAAAAACCCACTTTAGAAATCGAGCCATTCACGTATTCCGTGGATGAAAGACAAAAGGCAAAGAGCTAAACGCCTGATACAAAAGAAATACAAATTCAGTACCAGTAAAAGCGCGGAACACAGATTAGTCACGCTTAGTAACTAGCATGAAACCTAGGCGTTTATCAGAAGATGTTCAATAAAGGGGGCATTCTCTGAACAGGCAGGCAAGCGGACATATCTCTCATGCTGCAGAAAGGGTTTCCTTTTAATGGAGGTACAAAAAGACCTTGCCAAGGATGAGTGGGCAATGCACAAAAAGTTCATTTAAAGTACTTATAAAGATCGCCCAGAATCGATGGAAGATCGGAAACACTCACATCGAAGAATTATCTTAAGTCTCTTAACGTACATTTGATTCTGAATTGGATGTCAAAAGGGGAATAGACATGGCACAGTAAGTCACTTATTAAACGACAAACTTCTAAAAACAGCAGGGAACTAATGTTTTCGTGTTAATACATTTGAATTAGTCCTCTTAAGTTGGCTAAACGAATCACAATTAGATTTTCCTGAATTGTGTTTTCGGCAAAGAAAAATAAAAAGCAAAACACCAGAACAAAATTTACACTGTGACGCACAAAGACGGCGTTCCAACCTGCAAATGCAGTGGGAATTCGGTTAAGTCTCGTTCTTGTATCACCGTAGAACAGCAAATCTTGCCAAGACACATGCAGTCACATGTCAACAGCAAATTAAACATTCCTGGACGAAAGTACAGTCACGAGCTCCTGCGTGTCTAGTCTTCAGATGTTGGAAAGCCAAGGACACAAAATGCATCGCGCAATCGTGCCCTGGTTTGCCCGTATGATCGAGTAAAGCCGCTTTTATAACTGCACGCTTTTAAGCGTGGGTTAACAACAGGGGGGGGGCATGAAGAAATTGCCTTTTTAAACATTTTTAAATTTATTTTTAAACATGCATTGCGGGTTTCTTATGCACCAGAGGGCTTAATATTCTAAAGCGGTTTTTATTTTCAAAACGGGAGAATTATCATCTCTCCCACAAGACATTACCTGCAAATGCCCATGACTTATTTCGACTGCCAACATCTGAATTATATATGCATTTAGTGTCCAGGTGGACCTGTCGGCAGGCCATTTACTGACCGAGAACCACGGGAAAACGGCCATATTTACCAAGCTTTCGATTCCAAGGTTGACCTAGATTGTGCCGGCCATTATTTGTCCGATACCCCTGTCTAATTTAATCAAATATGCCCCCGATGTACTGCAAGACGAATGACTCCGTGGTTCTAGAGAGGGCATCCCTTTTAAATTTCATGGAACTCATTTCCGACTGACCTCGAAAGGAAAAGAGACTTCTTAATACAGCCAATCCTTTCAGCAACTTCTGGCTAAGAAAAAATTATAGTAAAATCACACTTTTTCTTATTTTTAGAAAAACTACAAGCATATGTAAATGGTATTTACATATTCCAGCAAAACGGACGTGTAGAACGGGCAGAAACTAATATGAAGCCGAGCAATAAAGGTCTACGCCGATGGCTGATGGCTAACGTCTCTTCGACTTGTTCAAGACTAGTCCTTACAGCGTTTTATAATTCCGAGTGACAATATTATGTTAAGTGGAAAAAACAAAAACCCTAAATCTCAAATCCGTCCACATTCCCCAAAATTTGTTCAAACTTGCTACAAGATGTGAAACCACACACAAGAGAAATCAACAACTCAGTTATCTGTCTTTTGTGGGGGGGGGGTTTCGAAAGTTGAAATATTTTCATACCGATTACGTTCCGGTTTTAGACTTAAGTGGATCAAAGATGTTTCGAAAGAAGAACTCCATGCATGCTTATTGGAAACGCTAGGGAATGAATTGGCAGGTAAACCAATAGCAAAAAAAAACCAGGGGTTTGCCACCAAAGGCTACAGTTGCTGCACCTTTTCACAGTAAACAAATTTAATTGATGACTACGCAATTCGTTTTGTGTAAATTTCACCAGAAGTTGTTTTATTCTTTCTTTCTTTTTGATTTATTTACAAAGGAACGCGATAAAATGTGAGGTGGGCAGACAGTGTGACCATTAAACCATATAAAGGCCTACAGATTAGTTCAAAATGTGTAAAATGCGATCAAGCCACTTTATCTCAGTCTCTGGATCTGTTCCTGATGTTCCATTTTTGGAAAATGTATATATTCCACGGATCCCAGTCCGAAATTAGTATGAGCAACATCAAACAGAACAATCTAAAAGCAAAACGCTGGAGTTTGCCGGCGTCATTGTTGCACGTCAAATAGACATTCTGCATTAATCCATAATGCGAAATATATGTAGCTGTTTACGGCATGAACGTGACTGCTGCGAGTTACCGTGGTAAAGTTGAGTTAACGCCCGCGCTCTTTAATGAGCAATTTTCGGCGTTGGAGTTTTATTGTTGTTCAGGGAATATCTAGTTTTACAGTGTTGCAAATTTTTTTTCTGAAGTCATTATCTGAGCACTTAATTCATCGCCCGAATGTCGAATTTGCTACATCGCTTCGAATACTGTTCGTTTTATTCCGCACTAACTGCACAAGGCCTTGCAAGGCTTAGACAGGCCCACACATAGTAAGTAATATATTTCCCTTCCCTTCTCTTCCCTATATCCGCCTACGCCATCCTACCTGTAAAATATCGAAGAGTAGAGTCAGCGGAATGATGGCAATTGAAACCCAGAGTATCGCCCAGTCTCGCTTCACCCTCAGGAGTTCGAGATAGGAGCGGTAGGAGCCATGCGTCTTGCACTTGTACACTGGTTTGAGGGCGCGCTTACATTCCTTACGAGCTCTGTGAAGAGAAGAACAGAGAGAAGGGTTAAAAAACTAACGCTGAAAGGACACGTTTGGAAAAGACCTCAGGGTTGGAAACAACATGGATGCCATAATTCACGCCACTTTCCAGCACTGACAGTCATTTTCAACAGATATATAGGTGGCCTTAATTACTTTAAACTTAAGGTCATGAATATGTTGTCAGCTTTGTACTCCTATTAAAGAGGTTTTGTGATTCCAAATGAGCAACTGAACCAAGTGCCAACCTCAGGGACTCAAATATCACCCAAAATATCGACAGTCGATATTATGACCACATTGCGTAAGAATTACCCCTTCCCCCTTTAAATGCATGTGATTATGCTCGGGAGATGTTACAGCCAGTCCACCCATGGCGAGTATACAAAGGAACCTACCTGTCGTCTGAGGTGCATGACGTACAGTTTCCCATGGTGCAACAGGAGCACATGTCCCTCTTGTTGGCCATCCTTCCGCGGGATTTTCCGCACAGCAAACAGCTGTTGATGTCAGCTGAGCTGCGGTAGGGCTTCAGATGGATCTGGTAAAGGTCGTACACGATGATGGAGGTGATAGCAATGACCTCGGCTGACCCCGTAGACGTCACAGCCATCAGGATGAGTAGGACCATCAGGGTGCCTCCTGTAGAGCCCATGAGCTCATTAGCAACGGCTGGTGCCGCTAACCCTGAAAAGAAAATATCGATAGGATTTTCACAGTGCTGTTTGTAATTTTCCTGCGTACCTGCTCTAAAATTGTTACACGATTTATTTTCATGGCAACACTAGTATGTGTTTAAAGTTGTCAACTGATGCGGAAACAATCCAACATTTCCCTAGGCAGTAAAACTTAACACCAACTAGACGGCGCTGGTACTTAACCAGTGCCTGCAATTCCGCACAAACAGAAGCAATTTGGGGGGACAGGCTGGTTGGCCTGGACAGTATAATGTCACATCAACCAATACAGCTCCAACAATCAGAAGGGCATGTTACTGCATGAAGAGCATACTCCTTACCTTGATTGACCAAATCGTCTGTGAGGAGAGGCTTGCCTCGGTACGTGCTAAGTGCCGTGTAAGCCAGGCCCATGGTTGTTGAGAATGCAAAGGGGATGGCGAACCACACCATACCTCCGATCAGGAATCCCCACATGCCCTGACGGGGCTTAGCTGCAACACTGCTCTGCCAGTACGACTGGTCCACGAACACGGTGCCGAAGTTTCCTGTGATGGCCAAGACGAATTGGGGGTGTTAACGGGCATCCAGGTTCAGGCTGTGTCAAGGGAAACGTGGCCCATTAGTTAGGGTTTGGGACCATACCAGCGGGTCAGAGGCTTGAATCATGTTGCTTGCCTTGTGTCCCTGGGCAAGCCACTTCACCTCCACTTTGCTGGCTGGGTATCAGCATCAGCCGAGGTGTAACCTGCGATTGACAAGTATTCCATCAAAGGGAATAGATATATTCCCTAGAGTGTTAAGGTTACTGATATCAGGGACAACTACCGACCTGCGGGGCGTATATTCGATACCCCGTTTGCGAGAACTGGGAATGAAAGCACGGGGAATGAAAACAAACGTGCACGAACAAGGACACCTAGTCACGTTACGGCCGGAAGTGAGAGGTCGTCAATAGAATTGTTTTCTGCCATCTCCATAGGACTTTTCCAAAATATTACCAGAGGAGGGCAAATGGAAAATCCCGATGTGAGTGTTTCTTTGGGTGGTTTCATTTAGACATAATTCTTTCCACACTGCAAAAACTTTGGTGATAAATTCAACACCTCTGGTGTTATCAGAGGACTTCACCGACACTTTTCACTGCTGTTAAAATTTTGGTATTATTTGGTGTTACTTAAAACACCCTCCAGTACACACACACTTATAGGTGTGCAAAGTTACACCGGCGGTGTAAAATTAACACCCTACGGTGTGGTCATCTGATAACACCAAAAAGTGTTGATTTTAGCACTTTTTGCGGTGTAAATTAGCGAACGCGATAGGACGGCCCCATTTAAAATCACCATAGGCGGATCCCGCGAGGGTTCTGGAAGCTTGCTGCGTGACTTTTTACTTTCAGGCCCCATCCGGCTCGTAAGTGACTTCGTCACAAAGGCGGCCGCGCCAAGATTTGCAGGCTCCAATCGTACAATCGCTGAAGTTGCACGTTAACTTCTGGTTTCATGGTTCCAAGGTAAACAGCAATCAATGTATGTAACTGTGTTTAGTGCATGTGCAGTGGGCGTCACACTTAAGAACTGGATACTGCCAGCTTCAGCCACGACCTGCGTGGACTGGTCCCCATCCTTATTATGTAGGGACCGCGGTAGGCAGCTGCAGTTTAACGTGTGCGATTAGCCCGGTCAATTTGGATGCTGAATACTTCAATTTTTTGCAAGCCAGCAATGCTTTATACGTTCCAGCAGTGAAGCAAATAGTGAAGCAAATAATACACACGTAGCTATCCTTGTTCATCCTCTGTTAATCACCGTGTGGTCGTAATTTTTTTCAGTGAGTATCATCGATAAATTATTTAGGGCAATTTATTCCAAATCAGTAGTTATTTAGATAAATAGACGATTTGTGGTGAAGTTATTTTCGGTAATGAGGGAAAAAAGGCGAAATATTCCATCAGTTCATGTTTGATTTGTGCATTGAGCGGGCTCCGTTTCATCATTTACAGAAAACCGACAGGATTCTGCCGGTGTCATTACTCGCTACCGGCCCTTACGTTGGGAGGACGTCCGTAAGACGTCTGGAATCTACGTATGGGGCGGGAACCAGTCTACGACCTACTACACCCCACTCTTAATTGTCACTAGAGCAGTTTGAGATTAATTATTTTTATTAATCATTTCTGTTAATGACACCAAGGATTCCTCAAAAGCGCCATAGACATTGTAGCTTGTAAGCCTGAGGAAACCTATAGAAAGGAGACAATGAGAAGCAGTTACATTTTAAGAGGTGAGAGGAAAACCGCAGAGGAATATTCTGGGTGAAACCCATGGAATCAGCTGGGACTGAAAGCCCAATCCACAAGTGGACTGTGCCGAGATTGATTCGAACACAGACCGTAGAGGTGGATGGCAAGGAAAGAACAACAACTACGCCAACCTGACTTCCTGATATAAGGTAAACGTTATTTAGTTAAGGTGAATCGACCCAAAGGGTGGAGGTTCTTTGATTCGAATGGGTTCAAAGAATCTCCAGTATTTTGTTGTTTCCCCGACTTAAACCACGTCCCTACCTCCATTCTTTGGTACAAAAGAACAAAAGGGTTTTACTATAGGGCCTAATGTTTCGAGCCGTGACATGAATTCGGTCCATTGTCCGGCGTTGGCTATAGCTGTCTACATCTGCATGTACATAAAAGCTCGACTCCTGGTTCAAGCCGTTGCAAGGGGAGCGGGTAAGCTTTCTTTCCTCGCTTCGCACTAGTGAGGCCCGGGTTCGAGTCCTGGCAGTGCCCAGGCTTTAAGTGCAGTTGGTTTCCAGTCCATACTCTCTCTCGCAGGGTTTCTCTGGGTGTACTCAGGTTTCCTCCTTCCTCCAAAAATGGACCTTCTTCCTAACCTCCGTAAAGTGATGCTGATCAATAAAGGTTATGAATAAATGTACATAAATGTACACAAAATTATGTGTATAGTTATTGGCGCAAATATACTGAGTAGCTGAAAGCCCCATTAATACAAAACAACAACGACAAGCCGTTTTGTTTTCTGTCACCTGGGTGCCTACACACATGCAGTTATGCAGTCAGCACCATCAGTGGATCGTAGGCGCAAACACTGACTTTGTGACCTCACAAGTCCAAATGGATTTACGTGTATAAGGTGGAAGGGGGAATTTGCTAGATTCAAGTTATGAAATGTAATTGTGACTTCACGAAGTTTGGGACTTTTACGCCACCAACAAGCAACTTTGGAGAGTGGATACTTTGGGAACCACAGCTCACTGTCTCTGATAATGAAGACCACGTTAACACCTGGTATTACATGCATACTCATCAAAATCACTCGGTCACCGTATAGGAAATTATATGTGGAAAGTACAGGCATTTGGAATATCATCTCGCAGGTACTGATAGGTAAGTGTCTAAATGATTAATCTGTTTTGTGAGATACATTGCATCGTTATAGTTATTTTACACACCGTTAAATAACGGAGGAAGAGTTAAAACTGAGGTTAAACTGAAAATAAAACTGGCTAAACTTACAAATTTTAAACTGAAAACACAGTAAAATAATGGAAAATATGTCACATTTAACATATAAATATTAAGAAGTAAAAATGAACATTATGAAATAAAAATAAAACGGAAGAAGCAGATATAAAAGAAGTGAAGTGAAAGAATGCTTTACTTTAAATGAAAATCTGTAATTGTCATCTAATATGAAACGGGAAATGTTAGCACGGCCATACGAAACATTCAGTGAGAACATCAACCCGTACAGAACGTCTAAAACGGTGTTCTTAAGTCAAGGAGAATGGACGAGGAACTGTAGATTTGTGCTAAGAACGAGCGAGGCCAAGCCTCGCCCTTCTTGCACGAATCTACAGTTACATAATGCAATAGCAAACATGTAAGCTCAAAATTGTAGCCCGTCGTCTTCATAAGGACAGCCTCCAGATGAGTATGTCATACAGCGCCCGTAAGCTCGAACTCAAATCTCGTCAGTTATCCGGTACCTGGACCTCGAAGAGTAAATACGCGTACTCAAGGTCTTCATGACGACTGAAAGTAGCTATCGAGCCAGAGAGGTAAGACTCCTCAGCTGATCGATTTAGTTATCAAGCGGGACTACTAAGCACACAAGTTCCTATGTAACACAATATTAGAATGTCTTTAAATCTGAATGCACATGTAGCCTATCTGTCTGCTCCAGGTAAGTGATGTCCATTACAGCGATCAATAAATTTACCCTTGCTCTGCAGTTAAACGTTGATATTTGCACGCAAATCTTGTGTTTTGCCCTTCTCTTATACTGTTGAGTGGACCTTTAACAATAAGATCACCTGCTCATAATCCAACATGACCGTCATTCACCTCCTAATCTTAAACTGAACTTCAAGTATCTTGCTCTTGTTGAATATCTTTTAACTTTTATTGCATGAAAATATGTTGAATTTGTAACTGCATGTACCATACCATGGGCACTGACCTTAAAATGTATGCATCACACTTAAAATAACTGAATGAATAAAGTAACAAAATTATAACTAAATGTATTTGGACCACCATCTTTTGGATAAATACAGGGCAATCAAATGATGGCGCAGGATGGATTACTGGCTGAACCACTTTCCTGCAGAATCTTAAGAAAAGTTGTAGACGAATACAGAACTCATAATGGTGACACAATACATCCCATCGGTCCTATCCGGTTCGTAAGTGTGACGTCACTTAAGTTTAAACCACGCCCACTGCACATGCACCGCACATAGAGTTACATGCATTGATCGCCGTTATGTGGAACCATGGAACCGGAAGTTAACGTGCAACTTCTGCGATCGTCCAATTGGAGTCTGCGAATCGTGGCACGTCCGCCTTTGTGACGAAGTCACTTACGAACCGGATAAAAAGGCCACAGGGTTACCATGTAAACGTTATTTTCTATCAGGTTCGTAAGTCACTTCATCACAAAGGGAGACGCACCACGATTTGCAGGCTCCCATTGGACGATCGCTGAAGTTGCGCGTTAACTTTCGGTTCCATGGTTCCATGTAATCGGTAATCAATGCATGTAACTCTATGTGTAGTGCACGTGGGCAGTGGGCGTGTTTTAAACTGAAGTGACATCACACTTACGAACTGGACATACACTCAACCCACTAGTATGAAGAGGATGTCAAATTCCTTTCCGCTGATGGTAATGACGCAATAACTATGCGACCATTATAATTTTGTCACCTCTGGTGATTTCGACAACTGCCATCTCAAGGCTTATGCCTCAATACCTCCCCCTCCATTCCATTTGGAATAAGGAAATTATTAAATATTGAAACTATTGCCATACATCTGTAGAAAGCATATCCCGCAGAAATTCGACCGTAAATGTACCGTACGCTCTTTCGCGAACGGTCTAGCGAATATTGTATGTTAAACGGAATGCTTTACTTTAGATGAAAATATGTAATCGCCATCTAACATGAACCGGGAAATGTTAGCGCGGCAAACCGAAACATTCAGTGAGAACATCAACCCGTGCAGAACGTCTAAAACGGTGTTCTTAAGTCAAGGAGAATGGACGAGGAACTGTAGATTTGCGCTAAGAACGGGCGAGGCTATTGTCTGACTTCAACTATTTTCCCATCGTTACACGAACATGGAGTCCCGAGTCTATGACGCTCTTGCTGTTACCTTACACCTGAGTGCACACCTTTGTTCCATTCATTAAGTGCACGGGTTTGGGCTAAGTGAAATATCGACAGTATTCGGGCAGTCAACACCGTCAGTGCTGGATACATACTGCCTTCCTTTCGTCTTGTGCCTTGGAGCCATTATAGAGGGATCCCAACACGACGCATCGATCTGCGCACTTCCGCGTTTGAAAACGAGGCTGTATGTGTCAGCTTCAGTTCTTGAATACAATCAGACAATTGAAAGTAAGGAGTCAAGACACAAAATACATAAAGGTGTGTTAAATTCACACTTTTTAAGCTGCAAATTTTTGTGGGAGAATCTTTCAGGATGACTTTATGCGTAAAATCAAGAGAAAAAAAAACGGCAATATTTACCGCGAACTAACGTACTTTCGATGGTTGTGTATCTGCTTGTGCAGTGGGCATGAATTAAAATGAAGTGGCGTCACACTTACGAACCGGATACTGCATCTACTGTGTCGACTCCATTATATATAATTTGGCCACCTCTGGTGATTTCGACATCAGGTCTGGCCCGTGGACTACTAGTTTGGTCATTATTAAATAAGTCAGTGACGTATAGGGAGATGATAATTTTGACCTGGCGACGGTGGACTTTGACTCTACCCCTCACGCAGTTTTATAGCAAGAACTTTCAATCGCTTGAGTGAATTCTCAAGAGGGGGAATGTTCATATCCCCTCTAAAGGAAACTAATTAACATGCAAGTTATAAACCTCTCTCATTCCAGTCGTAGTTGGCGATCAAATTAACATGGAATGCGAGCGTAAGTCTTTATATTCAAATCCCCGTCCCCTCTGGTGACTGCTTTTCATAATCGAATTCATTCAAATTGCTTAGCATTCAGGCTTTCCCCTTCAAAGAGGAGATTATTGCACTTGACATGCAAATCCGCTCCCAATATACATATGCCCCGAACAAGATTTGCCTCAAATAAAGCACGAGCTTTCCTAAACAGAGACAGAATGTATAGGATAAACGCCACACAGACAATTAAACTGTGCTTTTGGCGTGGTTGGATTGGTTTGGGGAATACAGATTTTTCCTTTAATTCAACTATATGGCGGCTCTCGACTTCGCCATAACCTTTTAAGTTTGATTTCAGCGATATTTTCTCCATCGACAGTGGAAGATTTTGAATCGGAAATGAAACAAGGACTATACTACCATTACATTTTTCTTATTAAGGAAAAATCTATGCCTTTGGTGTTTATATTTTCCTACATGTTACTCGAAAATAAAAAAAGATTGAATGTTCAGTGAATACATGTACATGTACATGTATAGTCAATTATATGTGACAGTAGATATTGTATGGTACAAACACACACTATTCGGTTAGTGTGTGCATTTGAGATACATGCACTCTTCTCCACGAGCCTTCGTCTTCGTCCTTGCAAGGAAGAGAAAACATGCAAATTAAAATGTATCATGAATTTTTCAGACATTTCTGGGTACCAGCCCGATATTACCCTTTTCAGTTAATATAAATCATTGAATTTGGTTTTAAAGAAATTATTGTGTCCGTTTGAAGTTGAATTTTGTGTAGATTCGTGTACTACATGTAACATGTTAAAGACATTGCAGGCATTTGGGTCAGAAAGGGCAACTATATTCTTTTCTTATGACAACACCCGGTGTAACATATATAAACGTCTGGCAAAGACAGCCAAGAACCTAAATCACAACTGATTTGCTTACGAATGGACTTAAAACTGTTTCATAGGAAGTTGGACTGAACATGCCTCAGGGAATCCAGAGCACACTTCCCAATGTATCATTCAGGTTTTAAGAAATGCATTTATCCCTATGACATACAGTTAACGATCATGCACGACAGCACTGGATGACGGAGGTTTACAACGACCGTGATGTTTGTGTGAGTGGCACACAGTCTTGACTCTGTTGACGTAAACTGAATGGCAGGGGGCGGGCCACTATTTCTGTTACACATTGTACCTGTGCCATTTCAGGCGTTGGTCAATTTTCAGCAGATGCAAGATTTACGCATATGCCTCTGCAAGAGTCAGTCATATATGTAGACCTTTTCCCAGTGACGTCACGATCGTGCTGCACCTATGATGTGTTGTGATGGTAATGAGTGCATAGAGTTGTGATGGCAATCTACCTATTCAAGATAAAGTAGTCAAGCATGGAGCGTTCGCACGTGCGCTTACACATGGTTGAAGCTGCCCGGAGGAATATACATGATGCGATCACCGTGGCCAAGGTGGTCCACACATGGTGGTATTGTTTACATTTAATCACGTGGGTGGAGAAGGTCTATACTTGGCCACTTAGTTTAGGCTCCTTTCACTATTGTTGATTCACCTTGTGAACGCAATACACATCATCTCTTGATCACACCCCCTCCCCGACGTAACTGAAGTATGCCGGTGCAATTTCTGTTTTCTTTTTATTTACCCTATTTGTTGATTGCCGAATCCTTCAAAGACGTACTATGTATTGTAAATGATATTCAGCTTATCTTCATCCAATCGCTATGAGATTTGATATTGAAAATCCCATAGGAAGTATCACTGTGTTTAGTTGCAGTGCGTCATAGGATAGAATGGGGTCTTCATTATCTCACGGGTAGGATAAATAGCGCACGTGCAAGTTGCATTTTGATCACAAGAAAGTGAAAGGCGCAGTCTTACCCAGCGGCGTATCTGGCTTTTGGTGTGGGGGAGGGGGGCAAATTCAAAAGCTAATGCAGCTTCGGGCTCATTCAACATAATTTTGGGGGAGAAAAAATATCAAAAGCCTAACTCGCAGTCCCAGCATCCTTATTTTTTGTGCGTGGTGTTGTTTTTTTTTTTAGGGTTCTGGTGCTAATACAGCATTTGATAACTATACTGATTACTTTCTTACATATGAAGTATTCTTTGTAAAAAAAATCCATCAGAGGGGCAACTTGCCCCCATCCCTTTCCCCGCTAGATACGCCACTGGTCTTAACGCTGCGGAGGATAATTTCCCTGGGGGATTCAACACGATTATTAAGCCAAAAAAAGTCTCAGGTTTCAGGTCAGTGCGTGCGTCGCCGTAGACCTTTGCGTCAGCAAAGTAAAAAGGTATTTGGTATAAATGATGTCTAAAAGCTGACAAACGTGTTTAATCGACTGAAATCCTGTTCCTGCGTAGTTTAAACGTGTTTTGATGGGGGTACGCTTGAGTATTATGTCCAATAAAGGAGTCCCTCTGGTTCCCCATGTATTTAGTCGGGCACTCTTTTTCAGATGACGTCATTTCTGTATTATACATTTACATTTTGGGAACCAGACTAACGAGGTAGTCTTATGTCCTGTGTACATGTACAAGCTGAAAATGCTAAACAGTTAAAAAGCGCGGGGCCCAGTCTATTTTGTGTTGGTAGCGGCCGGCGTTACGTGCGCATGTAGTTGCGATGGACATTGCGCATTTGATATACGTGCATCATTTCAAGAAGAAAATTGAGGGTAAAAAAAACCTGCGTCACCGCACCACGTTTGGAGCCAGCTCCTGACCAGAAACCGGAGACTTTTGACCTTACACAAAACAGCTACTGCCTTTTTGAACAGGAAATATTGAATCGTACCCCACATGCCTTTGACAACGGTGTATACATGGATGATCCCAATCTATCTCACCAGCGAACTGCGGTAAACACTTGTGACAGCTCATCAGAACATGGGGCGATTTCGTGATAAGATTTTCAAGACTTACCCACAATGTTGACAATGCCGAACATTATACCAGGCGGTGACAGGAAAGTCAAATAACTCTTCTCCCAGTTGTCTTCAGGCCCTTGAGAACAGAGGAGCAGATTGAAGACTCGCTCCACAGATCCTAAACCCCCAAAAAGAAACAAATAAGTAACAAAAATATCATATGAAATTAATTAATGAAAAAAAAACGCTATGGCAAATTTCTTAAACACTCTTAAATGTTTGCTCTTCTCCGATCAAAACGGTCATTTCAAAAGGCATGTATTAATGCGTGATACATTAATTTGAATAAAAAAATAATGGCTTTACTGCAAATTATTATGACTGAAACATACCCAAAGTATGAGATTTAGTCGTAAAAATTTAACAATGTAAACATGTTAAACCACAAGAGCTTATGACATCAAAATCGAATTCTATGAAGAAAAAATCCGGCAGTTGGACACGTCAGGGGAAAATAACACAGCCAAAGCAAAGGCGATTAACCCGGCCCATACATTAGGAATTAATATCTTAAGGAGAATCTGTGAAGGGTGGGATCCCTTCATCACTTGGTATTGCTGCATCGAGGAAGTGCAATAACCTCATGATGGTATCGGTAAATTTGTTGCTCCATTGCAAGTGTTGAGTTTTAACAGGTGCTGCACAGTTTTTGTTCACGAAGTCGGATCCTACCATTCAGAAATAAGGTTTCCAGGGTTTCTACTGTTCCTAAAACACGAGGCACGACACCACCGACTGGGTGAAATGCGGCGACAGGTCTATGTTAACCTGATTGTTCTCGCATGAAGAGATTGTATTGTAAAGAACCACGACACCGTCACGTTCACAAGAAGCAAACTGCAGAAATATTCTTGCCGACGACCACCTAAGATGACCATTGCCGTTTCAGGACGTTCAAGGGCAACTTTGCAGAAGTTGTGGAACTTGGTGATTGTTTTAAAATGATTGATGCTCTTAAGACTTGAATCGTCCTTCAAAACGTTCACTAGCTCCGTCGAAAGACATGTTTGATCATGTCCTGCACATTAAAAGAATGCCTGTAAAAAAACTCCGTCGGAGTTGAAACTAAAGACAAATTATCTAGATAGGCAAAAACAAATTACATTTTAGCCCATATAGTAATTCCGTAGCCTAGGCTTAATATTGGTATGCCACGTATCCTGTGTTCCCGCATGAGGGCTAACTAACATTATGTACATGTTTGTAAAACTGGTTTATGTTTGTCACAGCATCTTTCAATGATGCCCCTCACCTTCATCCAGAACACTGTACGTGTGAATTTCCATACCCACCTTTTTTAAAAGTGGGAACACTAAAAGTAAAACTTTTTGACATTTCTTGCATCGTTTGCCAAATTTTATCTTCGTAGGCCCATGGGACTCTTTTTAGAGAAACATAATTATTTCATAATTCATTGCTTCTATAACGAAAGTCAACGCTACATGCACCTGTAAGGCCAAGACCCTAAAACTGTGGTAAAGGCATATGTAGTACATGTAACTGGTCTGTGTTGGTCTAAAGTAGGCCTAATTATTTAAACAGTATGAGGATTAAACCTCCCTGACTTATTCATTTAGCTAGGGCAATTCCCAGCTCCATAGGTTTCGACCCAAGAATTGCAAGTGACGTTACCCTGGCAACAAACTCCAGTGAATCAGACATCACGAGCAGCCCTCCTCACATTCTACCCAGTATGCCACCCCAAGGCATGTTCTTTCCAATGGGGAGCAGTGTTATGACATGTTTGAATTGAGATAACTCCAAAAAAAATTTTAAGATTAAGTTTTGTTTGACCCCTTTTCTGCAAAGTAAATAAAACAGAATATTTGGTTGAATGGCGTTGCTCTGTGCAAAGGTAATACAGCATAGCCATATTCCATTTTTCAATAGGGTGGTTCTTATGCAAATTCTTGGAATAATGTACTGTAGGTGGAAGGTCAAACACTATTTTAATATGTAGTACTGTATCCAATTTTACAAAGCTGCCCAAAGTACCAAACTACTTGAATGTACCCTGCAATTATAGAAATAGTTCTAAACAGCATACTGAAGGATTTAGGCTACTGTCATACTTTTCCTGTAGAAAATGTCAGCACAGAAAGTGATTTTATTAACAACCTCTCGATGTCAATTTCAAATTAATTAGCAGCTGATTGTACCCAGAATACCTTTCCAAAACATGTTTTGTTATCTAGGTCCAAACGAGAGTGGACGTATGATGTGTTATCATTGCGAGGATTGCCTTTTTAAAAAAATTTGTAATTAATAGTTATTTCATTCTGTTTTAGTATATGAAGAATAGAAGTAAAAACTGAATGGTTGATTGAGTGGTCTTGCTTTATGACTGTAATTGTATCTTTTTTAATAATTTTGTCTATAAATCAGCTTTACCTCGGCAAACACCAAACAATGACCCTATCTGTAATACAGCAGCTTCCTCAGACCGATTTGTGGTCTAATTTAGAAGCTTCAAGTCTGGGGAAGCGTGGCTTTTGATACTCTGCCAAATTGTACAAAGTTGCCAAGAAATACTAAATCAATAAATTATATATTCAATAAATACTGTAAAGCAATAATAAGAATTTGCTATAGGACACAAAGTGATCTTGTTGATGACCTACCACTGTATAAAATTTGGAGTTTGTCAACATGTAATTCTACCCAGTATTTATCTCGTAGACATGTTCTTTTGCATTGAGCTACAATATTGTTAATTGCTAGTACTTGTACCAGTCATCTGTTGGAGCATAATGCAAAACAAAAAGGTTGCCGGTTAGGCTTAAGTGGTGTTACAGTATAGACTTCGGCCATTTACTGTTACTGTGTGTTTTTTTCCAGTTTTTTCATCTTGTAATAATTCAATCTTGTAATAGGAGTGATATTATTCTAAAATATGATTTTGAACTAAATTTTGTTTAGCTTTCAAATTATAGCAATAAAAACATGATCAAGTTAATTTTCCTGTTGTCAATATGTTATTTGAAATTCAAACTCGTTGTATAATTTTTTCAATTTCCACGTAATGTGTAACAGTAAAACAAAAAGAACAGTTCCCCAGTGACCACTTGAAATGAGATGACACCATTTGGGGTATTAAAATTAACACCAGTACAAGTGTAGCTTCTCGTAATGCCAACTAACAGTGTTCCTTTATACCACGTTCCTTACCAAAAATAAACCCCATTTGGGAATTATTTTACTCCCGTACCGGTATTTGTTTTTCAAGTTACACACCAAAAATTGGTGCCATTTAACACCTAAAGCCTTGCCCAAAATAAACACCAATAAATGATAAAATTCTACACCATCGGTGTTATTTTAACACCGACGTTTTAGCAGTGCACCAAACTAATCCGTCAGACTCATACCTCTTGCCTTAAGCTCAGGTGTGAGTTAACGAATCGTCTAAAAATACCACATCACAAACATAAGACAAATGTTCCTTCCCTTTCAAATAGAATATTTATAAGCAATTCAGACACAAAAATAGTACAATGTACTTAAAAAAGTGACCGTCTACAAGCCACCTGCCATTTGATTTGACACCTGCAGCATACGATATTCTAGAAATGGAAACGTGATTGGCCTCGTGACGACTGGAAGAAGGAACATCTGTTCACGGGAAGCAAGCAATGACTAGTTTCATCCTTGCATAAGCCCCTCTTCAAATATTAACAAGCATCGCGAAAATAAGCACTGAACCATTTGCCTTCGATGCTGGAAGCATCAGACACGAGCATCAATGAACTCTCACAATGAACGTGATCTGTCTACAAAACAGCTTCGGGACTCTCATCTCTTCCACTCTAGAACATGAAGTTTTAGGTTACGCTATTTTAAACACTATACATTACCTCAAAATTGGCGGCAATTTGTGGCAACTACTGAGGTCGTGAAAAAAGAACGAGAGGTAACGTATTTGTTGATCAGACACAGGTCTACCTAATCCTCCATGTCTCGACGTCTCAGCTATGATGAAAGATACCAGCAGAATTTTACTGTTTATGGGCCCCCAATTTGTTTGGCACACGGTGCTTATAACATTTATCTATACTATCACTGGCTTAGCAATATGTAGCACGTTCGCTGCATACGTTGTTTACCGTATTGTATTAAGCTGTAAACTGAACAGATTTATGAACTGGAGGTAACGGTCCACGAATTTTATTTTATTTTATTTCATTACATTTTCATTTCAGTTTAATATACAATACTGGCTAGACTGTTAGCGAAAGAGCGTACGGTACATCTACGGTCCAATTTCTGCGGGATATGCTTTCTGCCGATGTGTGGCAATATTTTCGATATTTAATGATTTCTTAATTCTACATGGAAGGGAGAGGAGACATTGAGGCACAAGCCTTGTGATGGCAGTTGCTCACGTCCCACAAATGCGGGATTTTCACAGTAGTGTGCCTCCAAGAGTTTGCAATGCGTTGACCAATCACAGTGCAAGATATCTGTCGATCGAATGCGCGTTTCAAAAGGGTCCACAGATTCCACGCACTATGATTGGTCAACGCAATGCAAACTCTTTGATGCGCACCATTGTGAATCCCCCGTATTGCAAACACGTAGCAACCGTCATCTCTGTTTAGGGGATTGTTTCTTGAAGTTGACAGCGCAGGTTTAATATGACTGGATTTCGATTTGTATTGATGTGGCTTGTGGGAAATTGTTTTTGGATACGCTCATCGGAATTTGTTATCAGAAACTGTCATTTTTTGTACATAATGCTTCACTTAAATTTTCAAAAGGTATATGAATGCTTGATTAACCAAGCGTAGATTGACGTGAATCTTATAGGTATCAAGATGCATGGCCGCCAGCGACAACACCGAATCTCTGTATTTGCAATAAACCTTTTTAACAGAAACATCTGGAAGATAAGACTGCAATTCTGGATACTCAGTTAATTTTAAATATGAGAGACTGGAGGCGTTGAAGTGCTTTGCAAGAACGTACAGGGATTTCCTGCATCAGCCTGTTAGAAAACCAGTTATCACCAGTTATCAAATAACATAGTGCTTTTATTATTAACTTGAGAGAGAATGCATTTCTTTTAGATTCGAGACTCAGGTACAGTTGTATTATTGGGGACTGCTCACTTAAAAGACA